CTGGATATTAAAAATAACCTTAATTGTAACAGTTGGCTATGAGAACTTAAGTCTGTAAGGTTCTTTTAATTTGGAAAAAAAAGTAAAAGAAAAACTGTATTGGTTTTTTCCATGGAGGTGGGGGAAGGGGTTGAACTTGTTAGCAGAATATTTTTGTGTCTAGAACCCAGCAACTTTACAATCATTATATAATGACGCAGAAATGTAACCAGCAAATTTTTTCTTTCTTTCTTTTTTTTTTTGGTTTCGAATTAAGTATCAACACTGTTATGACAACCTAACTGATCTTTACTGATAGAGGACATGGCTTACAAGCATCTCATTGTAGCACAAGTAGGCACCTTACTAAAACTATCAACTTTCTGTGAGATAAAGTTTGATTGCTTCTTTAAACAAATACATGACACAATTCAAACAAGATGAAATTATATAAGCCTAGCTTAACAAGGTTTTGGGTTTTTTTAATTTCAAGTGTGGCTTTTTTCTTTTTCTTTATAGCTGATTATTGCTGAAATTGGTAATTACTAGATATACACTTATCAAGGAATGGAACACCAAGGTGTGACCAGAAATGTGTTCACATCGGCATTATAAAACCATACAAACTAGAACTTTTTATCAACAGAATTTCCGAGTCCTATGAAATATCTAAATCACCCTACAGAGCATCATAAATGAAATAATATATTAACAGCAAATGCAACAGAAGTATCATCAGAGTATATTCCACTAAAAGTTCATCTTGCACTGCTACAGGTGATAGTAGGTGTGCCATGGTTAAATGTCTACTTCTAAATAAAGGGTTCAGTGTCCGTATGACAAAGTTAACACCTCGGACTTATGTAATCGAAGGATTGCTGTCCCCACTGGTTTAGACCCAGTTTTGGGCAAGCTGTTTTATCCTAGAACAAAAACATTCAATGCTTAGTACTAGTTGGTTCCAGTAATAAGTGCAAGATTTTTTTCAATAAGCTTATAGCTTATACACAAAGGAACTAAAATAAATTTGTATAACTAAATAAAGGGATTACACATACAAATTACACATACAAATCCAACTTGGTTCAAGACCATGTTCTCTGTATGAAAGTCCAGTTCTACGTCAGTTACAAAAGTTGACCGGAACTTTTATCACAATTAAACTAAATTGATTAAATCTATCCTGGGGTGCAGTATTATTGTCTGGTGTCATATTAGTCTTGTGAGAAATTGTGTTACATTATGAGAAAATATATAAGTTCATGCTTAAATATACATTTCAGCAAATTCCAAAAAAAGAATGAGGTTTAGGAGTTGCTGTTTAAAGAGATTGTGGACAACAACAGACAATGAATGATAGACACACCACTATCACAAAAGCTCAACTCTGAGCACTTAGTGCTTAGGTGAGCTAATAAACAACATTTTACGTAAGAAATCTCAACAAGCCACCATTAACAATAATACGCTTAGCAAAAAATAGAAATAAAATGTTTTGGTAAAAATGAAAAAACATGGCGGTAAGAATAACATATCTAAAAGGCTTTATATAAGATCAAGTGCACTATACATACAGGTAGGTAGATGCACTATTAATTATTCAACTGGCAAAGAGCTCAATAAGACTTTCACAATGAATAGGTCATGTTTAAAAAGAGTAACTACAATTCTTCTAGGTATTTTATCAGCACCTAAAATTGAGCAATAACAAGTTTTCCTGTCAATTTGCCTTCAGCTTTCATGTATGCTTATGTTTGATCTGTGAAAATATTGATAAAAGAGAGGGAAAAAATAGTTTATTTTTCAACAGCTCCCCCTGGTGTCATCAATAATATAAGGGAGACTACTGGCATATTGTCTGTTTTCAACACAAGTAATCAAAAAACAATTTTCTCTTTGAGTATTGTGTGTCACCCTGTTCTACTTTATGTCCAGGACACAAGAAAAACTTTTATTATGGATATTTATGTCCAGGACACAAGAAATTTTTATTGTGGTTATTTTTCTTTCTTAAAGTCATGTCAAAACAGGACCAAGTTTAAATTATACTACATGCATCTTTTTAAGCACTGATACACACATTGGTGGTGACCTACCAAAGTCTTAAAATCCAAATTAATTGTATATAGCTCAATCCCATCATAATAGCTCACCTTGACAATGTTGTGCCCAGGTGAGCTTCAAATATATCTTACTGTATTAGAAACTTAAAATTTTAATTAAATAAACAGTTTACAACATTTCAACATTTTAATTACACACCTATTACAACCCTTATTTTTAGAATTTCTTAAAGGCCCGTTATGCCCCAGAAAAGCTCTTTTAATTTCATTATTGGGCCAACTTACTGAACCATCTTTTTCTTCTGTTGCTTTTTAGGTTTTAATATTTATAGTGATTTAAGTAAATTGTGTGGAAGTCAAAGTATTAATACATGTATTTGGTTTACATTTTGCTGCTTATTTGACCACGTATATCACATTTAGTGCTACTTTCTTCATATAACAAGTATCTAACATTAACATTCATATTTTCCCTTTCTAAAGAAGTTAATATTCCTTCGTTTGAGACATGTGCCTTTAAAATTAATATTTATTAAATAAACAAAATAAAAATATGACAAATATTAATTTCACTGGAAGCAATGATTTGCACAAAATTCTTCAATAATATATATACATTGTATATATTAGCTAAATTATGATGAAAAATATAATATATTGCAATAATTCATTTTCCTAAGTTTAATCAATAAGCAAGAGCTGTCAACAAGATATTGTGCTCAACTTTTCTCAGTGACATATAGTAAAACAAAAGCCTGGATTTTGTAGGAATTAGCAAAGAAAAAGATTTATAAATAAACAAAAAGTTTTTTTTTGTGTTTAGTATACACACATGCTCACTGCCGAGATTCTTGTCAGAAAAAGGTACCCATTCACTAAATTATGTAAGGAAAAATTGCTAAAAATATTAACTTGTTAACTGACAGTTGTGAAACTTGACAGATTAATGACTTTTTGTTATTGCAAAAGTAAAATGTTGGCTAATGAAGTTAAAAAATATTGAACTTACAAATAAAAATTTATCAAATATATATAAAAATATATATAAATGCAAGACCTTGACCTTGACCCCAGTGACACCAAATTTGATCTAAAGTTAGAGGACCACCTAAGGTATGATCCTAGACAATATGAAGGTCATTGGCCCAAAATAAAGGCTGTATAAGTGTGAAGTGTAAAAATCTTGTGTTAGGACAGATGACCTTGACCTTGGGACTCCCAACTCTAGACCATCCAAGGTATGTTCCCTCCTAATATGGGAGATATCATTAACATTTATAAATAAAATTGCTATGAGGAATTTAAGATACATCTAACTTCCAGAATAAGTTAACCATGCCAGGGTTCTATTTTCAAAGTGTTAAAAAAAAGGAAAATAACTTCGGAAAAATGATGGCATAATTGTATTATCGTTTATAGCGATATCATGTACTTTGTATTAATAAATATCAGTGTGTAAATTATAAAGCCATAATTACTGGTACAACTTTAGATATATATCTAACTTGCGGGTTTTGGATAATGGCACATTATGCCTCAGAAACAAATAAATTTTCCATTCTTTAGGAAAGGAAAATATGTTAACATTTCAATAATGGTTTTTAGCAAATTAGATGCTTATCACCTGAAGAATGTAGCACTGAATGTAAATTATTTGTCAAGTCTGTTTTACAGTTACTGCAGATTTCTGTCCTCTCTATGTTAAAATAATACAGTAATTTCCCAGTTTAACTTGTGACTTCCCTGTGCCCCATATTGTTATAATAATACAGTGATTTCCCAGTTTGACTTGTGACTATCCTGTGCCCCATATTGTTATAATAATACAGTGATTTCCCAGTTTAACTTGTGACTTTCCTGTGCCCCATATTGTTAAGATAATACAGTGATTTCCCAGTTTAACTTGTGACTTTCCTGTGCCCCATATTGTTAAAATAATACAGTGATTTCCCAGTTTAACTTGTGACTTTCCTGTGCCCCATATTGTTAAGACAATACAGTGATTTCCCAGTTTAACTTGTGACTTTCCTGTGTCCCATATTGTTAAGACACTACAGTGATTTCCCAGTTTAACTTGTGACTTCCCTGTGCCCATATTGTTAAACAATACAGTGATTTCCCAGTTTAACTTGTGATTTTCCTGTGCCCCAATTTTGTTAAGACACTACAGTGATTTCCCAGTTTAACTTGTGACTTTCCTGTGTCCCATATTGTTCAGACAATACAGTGATTTCCCAGTTTAACTTGTGACTTTCCTGTGCCCCATATTGTTAAAATAATACAGTGATTTCCCAGTTTAACTTGTGACTTTCCTGTGCCCCAAATTGTTAAGACAATACAGTGATTTCCCAGTTTAACTTGTGACTTTCCTATGTCCCATATTGTTCAGACAATACAGTGATTTCCCAGTTTAACTTGTGACTTTCCTGTGCCCCATATTGTTAAGACAATACAGTGATTTCCCAGTTTAACTTGTGACTTTCCAGTGCCCCATATTGTTAAGATAATACAGTGATTTCCCAGTTTAATTTGTGACTTTCCTGTGCCCCATATTGTTAAAATAATACAGTGATTTCCCAGTTTAACTTGTGACTTTCCTGTGCCCCAAATTGTTAAGACACTACAGTGATTTCCCAGTTTAACTTGTGACTTCCCTGTGCCCCATATTGTTAAGACAATACAGTGATTTCCCAGTTTAACTTGTGATTTTCCTGTGCCCCAATTTTGTTAAGACAATACAGTGATTTCCCAGTTTAACTTGTGACTTTCCTGTGCCACATATTGTTAAGATAATACGTTGATTTCTCAGTTTAACTTGTGAACAAAGATTTCCTGTGTCCCTTTATGTCAAAAAGATACAATGATTTCCATGTTTAACATTTGAAGCCACCAGTGCCCCTCTATGATCTTTAGAAACACCACTGGGCTTCTTACAATCTTTTTTTGCTATAAACATACCTGGTATTGAAAAGTTTTCACTAAGGCCTGTGGGAAATTCTGTGTTTTCTGGTACAGTTGTGGCGTAATTCTCCAGCTCTGGTAATTTATTTGGTATTTCTGTACTTCTAGGTACCATCACTGGTGGTAAGGCTGAAAAAAAAATCATTTGAATGTTTAGCTTGTTCAAAGTTTATTTCAGTCATTAACCAGATTACTATCTAAACCTGCAGACCGTTAAGGAACAAGTATTACATGATCCTATGCCAGTACTAACTTAGTGGCTAACTTCTCCATATATACATGATGATGATTGCTGATCAACTTGTATTACAAGTGTTAATTACAAAGTCATGTACTTACAGTCTTTGTATGTATTTCTGTGTGTGATAATATTAAATATTTTGCATGTAGCATCAATTCGTTCTACAAAAGTTATAATTAATCATGACAGTCAGGTCTATTTGAAAGACCCTGGTTAGGGTCAATTTTGACCTGAACGTCATGATTAATATAACTTTTGTAGAACAAATTGATGCTACATGCAAAATATTTAAGGCTTACTCTCAGGGCGATGTATAAGTTTTACACATTAAGTTATGCATTTCCTATATTTCAAAATTTATAAATCAAGTGACCCAGAGGCAGGATTAATACCAGTTTTGTACAGGCAAACAGGCATTGCTACATGCTAAATATTTAAGTTCTTGGCATTGTACTTTCACAAGATAAGACAGAAATGTGTAGTTAACTATTGTAGAGGACTACCTGAGGATTATTTCTGTGAAATTTGATCAAAATCCATCAAATGGTTAAAGAAGAGATGTTGTGTAAAGAAATTGTGGATATTAACAACAATGCTCACACTGCCATGACAAAAGCTCATCTCTGAGTTAGCTAAGTGTTTAGCTTTATGCTCTTGTTCTTGTAACAGAGCATCTGAACACTGAAACATTCCTATATCTGACACCAGATGACATGTTCCTATATCTGACACCAGATGACATGTTCCTAGATCTGACACCAGATGACATGTTCCTATATCTGACACCAATTGGCATGTTCCTATATCTTACATCAGATGGCATGTTCCTATATCTGACACCAGATGACATGTTCATATATCTGACATCAGATGACATGTTCCTATATCTTACACCAAATGACATGTTCCTATATCTTACACCAGATGACATGTTCATATATCTGACATCAGATGACATGTTCCTATATCTTACACCAAATGACATGTTCCTATATCTTACATCAGATGGCATGTTCCTATATCTGACACCAGATGACATGTTCCTATATCTGACATCAGATGACATGTTCCTATATCTGACACCAAATGACATGTTCCTATATCTGACACCAGATGACATGTTCCTATATCTGACACCAGATGACATGTTCCTATATCTGACACCAGATGACATGTTCCTATATCTGACACCAGATAACATGTTCATATATCTGACACCAAATGACATGTTCCTATATCTGGCACCAGATAACATGTTCATATATCTGACACCAGATGACATGTTCCTATATCTGGCACCAGATAACATGTTCATATATCTGACACCAGATGACATGTTCTTATATGTAATATTAAAAGGCTACATAACAAAATTCAAATGTTGGTGTTAAATTACCAACGAAGAGCCCTCAGACTAATCTGAATTCTTTTAATTAAATATATATTTGATTAAAATTACTTTCAGTGTCTGTTTACAGATATATAAAACATATCTTCACCATCAGATGAAATGAATTCAAATTGAAAAAAAAAAAAATCTTTTAATATAATATTAATGACTATTTTCTCTCATATTTGAATAATGAACATACTAAGAAAAGAATTTATGTGCTTTTTTTAGAGACATTTCATTTTAGTTTAATAAAAGTATATGTGTCCTGATCTCTTGTTTATTTTGATTTAAAAAATTTAATCAAGATTGAAATCTGTAGTTGATTGCAATAAAAATGCAACTTGACCAGTGTTTTGATATTACATATGTGCACATGCAAAACATGAACACATTCAGTTAAATAGTTAATTTCATGGAGATATATAATTTCACAGAAAATTTGATAAAAAGGGGCATAAACATATACTTGCATTGTTCTGTTTTTATTTGTTTGGGTCGTCAGACCAAACAAATAATGGTAGCGAAATTTCAGACTCTAATGCTGTTAATTGCAAATGCCGAAAGTAGTCCGCTTTTTTGAAGCGGTTACTTCCCTTTATATCTACACTTACGCCGAAAAATTCAGGGGAGATCACTGCGTAAAAATGGTGAAATGACAGGCGCATTAATTTTCAAGCAAAATAATTCCCGAATGGACGAAGATTTCTATTATTGTTTTATTCTTTTTAGATATACATGCTTATAGTAAGCTCAATGATTATTTACATCTGTGTTAAACAACAGTTACATGCATGCAGCGTCGTTACAAAACCTAATTTAGAATATTTTTTTTCTTCAGGCCGTTAACATATAAATTCACCGTGGCCGAGGGGTTTATGCGCTCGCTTAGGAAGCGAGAGGTCTGGAGTTCAAATCCCAGTTAAGGCAACTCATTTTATTTCAAATTGTTTAAGTCAAATAAACATAGGATTGAATATCAGTGTTGCAATAAGTCTTATAGCCAATTTACTACAATTAAAACACTAGAAAGCATTGGTGGCACTATACAAAAACAAATTGCTTTATAATCTCACAACCTTCACCTTTCCGACATTCTGAGACCCAAACAAATTCAGCGCCTTCTGTGCTTTGATTATAGGTATAGTAGAGTAAATAGTTGCAATTATATACCTACCAAATATGGAAGATAATGAATCCTCATCTGATCTTAAGTGATCAATGCTGGACACAGACACACCTCAATTATTCTTATATGATTACAGTCATATTTAGAATTTTCTTCTTTTTTTTTCTTTTTTCCTTGAAGTTTTCCTTTTTTTGTTCTGAGCCTACCCTTTTTTTGTTTCCTTTTTGGCAACAAATTCAAATTATGATTATAAGTGGTTTACACTTGTATACATGTCCTGCATTTTTGCACAGGGCTCTTTTTATGTGACAAATTAAATCTGTGACAAAAATTGTTCTATGTTACACAACACTACAATGTATATCAATGCAATGACTGCAATGAATTTTTTTTGTTTGTTAATCCTTCATCTATAATGTTGTTTGACTCACCTTTTTTGTTCTGTTTTGTGTACTATGTTTTATGATGTGCCATGTCTACCAATCGTATATTGAAATAAACGTATGTATCTGTGTTAATTACCAACTACGATCAATAAAATAATCAAGATGCTGTAAAAAATGGTATCTATAAAGAGTAAACTTTTTACTTTTATAACATTACACCATTAAATATTCGAGCAACATTATAAGTTACTCACTTAATAAAGAGTTGCTGTCCCCATTCTCAACTAAACCTTCTGGCATATCAACACGTGTGTAATGGTAAGGGTTAACACAGACTTCGTCCCGTTTTAAATGAAATGCATATTCACATGTCTCAATGGCCCTAAGTTCTTGATGAGATTGTAGGTCGGGCCAACGCCAGAGTCTGCAATATATAACATGAGGAAGACCCTTCCGATGCGACACTTGTAACCGACCATCTAATGACCTGAAAAAATATACAAAATATACATACATGTATAGGCTAGTGTTTAACTATACTCTAAACAAAGGAATTCTAAAAAGGACTTGCATCATCTTGAAATGGATGTTATATGACTGTCTAGCTTTTAAGTTCTCTTCTACTGATCTTTTGCAAGACATAAAAAGATGTTATAGACTTCAGGGTTTTTTTCCAGGATTTTGGGAACATGACCCATACCCATGGAAATTGGAATTTCAGCGATGTTTTGTTAAAATTTGGGAAAAATTGCATGACTTAAATTTTGCAGTGATTAAATGAATGCAAAGAATAACTGTCTAGGAAGGCATCTTCAAACTATTAAACACCATAACAGTGAAGAAGTCCTTATTTTCTAAGATTTTAGAATTTGTTATTAAATATTTTTATTTTGTAACTTTCAATTGGGAATTTTTTCCTGTGGATTGGGAAAATAATATACTATTTTCGATTGGGAATATGACCGAATATCGGCTATAAAATAAGGCCAAAAAAATCCCTGGACTTATAGGTACAAAAATATCAATACTTTTACACTTAAATTTAATAATCATGTCTTTATCATAATTTTTATGTACATGTATATTTATTATGATTGGAGTTTATTTGTCGAAATATTCACAAAATATTTAAACATTCTGACCATTCCTCTAACTCTTCCCCACTTTTTTTTTATAATTTCTTCTCCATGGCATTCTTTTATGTATTTTGAAAATGTACAATTATTATCAACACATGGAAGTTTGGGTCAAGCTGTAACTAAATAACCATTATCATTTAGCCATGGACGTTTGGGTCAAGCTTTAATATTATAATAAAATCACCATTATCAAGCCATGGAAGTTTGGGTCAAGCTGTAATGGAATCACCATTATCAATCCATGAAAGTTTGGATCAAGCTGTAATATCACCATTATCAAGCCATGGTAGTTTAGGTCAAGCTGTAATATCACCATTATCAAGCCATGGTAGTTTGGGTCAAGCTGTTATGGGATCAACATTATCAAGCCATGGTAGTTTGGGTCAAGCTGTAATGGGGTCACCATTATCAAGCCATGGAAGTTTGGACCAAGTTGTAATGGAATCACCATTGGCATTATCAAGCCATGGAAGTTTGTGTCAAGCTGTAATGGAATCACCATTATCAAGCCATGGAAGTTTGTGTCAAGCTGTATATCAAGCGATGGATGTTTGGATCAAGCTGTAATGAATCACCATTATCAAGCCATGGAAGTTTGGGTCAAGCTGTAATGGGGTCACCATTATCAATAGATGGAAGTTTGGGTCAAGCTATAATGGGGTCACCATTATCAATAGATGGAAGTTTGGGTCAAGCTATAATGGGGTCACCATTATCAATAGATGGAAGTTTGGGTCAAGCTGTAATGGAATCACCATTATCAAGCCATGGAAGTTTGGGTCAAGCTGTAATGAGCCCATGGAAATTTCAGTAATAACATAACTGGATCACTAACATCAGTCAATGAAGTTTAAATTGGTCAAACCATCATTATGAATGGGGTCACCATCATGTTTTCTTTTATGACCAGTCTCTTTAATCAGTTCCAGTATAAGATAACTTCTAACCATTCATCACAAGTTAAAATTAATCTCTTTCAATGTTAAGTATTATACACATAAAACATTGTTAAACATTACAAATATCGGCTGACAATTTAACTTTGGGAAATCTAAATTTCTTTCATTGAGTTAATTGGCATATCCAAATTTTCTACTTCAATGCAAGGAAGTCTTTTCTAGATCGATGCAAGTCTTTTCTGAATCTATAATATAATTTGCATATTACATGTACATAAGACATATTCAGAAACTGATAAATTAGTTATGTATGGGTAAGAGTTCGTATTAAGACGACCGTAGGGAGTCTTATCGAACTCTTACCCATATAACTGCAAATCGGCTCTTACAACTCGATATCAGATAAAAATATAGAAAGTGTCACCTCTTTAATTAAGCATAACATTATTATTCTCCGACAGTCACGTACAAACAAGGATGGGGTCATATTACTTAATCTGGCATGTAAAACAATGAGTTTTCAACAATACCTAGGATTGTTAATGCAATTCATTCCTGTCATATGAAACAAAATAATGTTTTGTTTACTTTTTCTAGAAAATAAATTAATAATTGACATTTTTCATAGAGTTTAAAATATATCAAAAAGTTACTGTGTTCACATTTGTCTCTGCGAGCTGAGCTCCACGTGCATTATCTATGTAATAAATTTGAATGTATCCTCACATTGCTACGGTGTTATCAGCCTTTTTAGAAACACCTGACCTGGCTAATTAAAATATGCCAATCACAATTTTCAATATCAGCACTGGTTTCTTAATGAAATAGCGGCTACACTAATTACTGCCGAGTAAGAGCCGATTTGCAGTTATATCTAATAAATACTTGATGACGATACCAACAGAACTGCATACATAACATTAAAAAAAAAAAATTTTTTTTTAAACAAATCTACATTTCCAAATACAAACCAAGTTAATTATTTTGGACATATAAATTAAATATTTTCCTAGTAACTACAGGAGCTGTTACTGATGCCCGATATATTTCTTCATAATTTGATCAGGTAGAGAATGTGTGACACTATTTATTACTATCTTGATGGTACACATGTAGAAATCATTTTCATATAAACAATCTTTCCCATTATACCTTTATCAATCACAATATTTCTCCACTATTTCACATTCAATCTTGTATAAAATGCCTCTTTAAATCCTTTTCCCCTCCCTTAATTAAAAAGATTACTTAATCAATAAACTTTCTCACAAGTAAACAACTGCTGACCTAGTTCTTGCCGGTTGATATATTACACCTGACCCAAACAGCTGAGTTCAAGGGAGGTCACCATGTCATAGACTGTCTAGGAACTACTTTTTTGGCCTAGATATAGACCACACCACATACAGCTGATGATATATACAATAATATCAGGAAGATTCATTCATAGCATTTTAACTTAACAGTTAACTTTCTGTTTGGGTATTGCATGATACAATACTATGGGATTGTTCAAATTGGTTGGCTCTTATATATTTGAGAAAATTTAAAGTTTACTTTTTCTTTGCCAAATATATAAATTCTGCAAGTGTAAAAAGAGTTATCATTATGTAATACTCAGTACATTCTGATGCATAAGTTAACTTAACTGTCCATAAAACAGAACTAGTCAGAACAAAATGAAACCAAGCTAAACAATATCAGGCACCTGCACACATCTAATTATTGAGTATTATTGAGCACCTGCACTCATTTATTGGGCACCTGCACTCTTCTAATGGTGTAAAGTATTATTGGGCACCTGCACTCATCTAATAGTGTAAGGTTTTATGGGGCACCTGCACTTATCTAATGGTATAACTATAAGGTAATACAGTATTATTGGGCTCCTGCACACATCTAATTGAGAGCACCTGCACTACCTGCACTCATCTAATGGTATAAGGTATTATTGGGCTCCTGCACTCATATAATGGTGTAAAGTATTATTTAGCACCTGTATTACTCATCTAATTGTTTTAAGTATGTTTGGGCACCTGCACTCATTTATAGTAAGTATTATTGGGCGCCTGCACTCTCTAATGGTGTAAAGTATAATTGGACACCTGCACTCATCTAATGGTGTAAAGAATTATTGGACACCTGCACTCTCTAATGATGTAAGGTATTATGGGGCGCCTGCACTCATCTCATGGTGTAAAGAATTATGGGGCGCCTGCACTCTCTAATGGTGTAAAGAATTATTGGACACCTGCACTCTCTAATGATGTAAGGTATTATGGGGCGCCTGCACTCATCTCATGGTGTAAAGAATTATGGGGCGCCTGCACTCTCTAATGGTGTAAAGTATAATTGGACACCTGCACTCATCTAATGGTGCTCATCTAACAGGATACGCTCTTTACATTCATACATGTGTTTTTTTATTATTATGTTTTCTAATAATGGGTGTCTGTCTTAGTTTCAAGTTTTTTGACTGTGTTAATTTTGTAAGTTAATTTTACTTTTTAAATTGCAGATTAAAATGATGCACTGATGGAAGTATTATGTTTAATGATAAATAAAATGAATTGTATGAATGTTCAGTATATGTGTTAATATATGTTAAAATTGTGATAACCATTTAATCATTTCTTTTTACATGTTATATTTTCTTTGATTGATATGTGTTCTTTTGTGTGTGTGTTTTTATTTTTATTTTAGAAGGCCGCATTGTAAATAAGATGTTGCAATCTGTATATGTCTTAATGTGTTACCTTGGGTAAATAAAGTTATTATTATTACTATTATTATTATTAAGAATTATTGGACACCTGCACTCTCTAATGATGTAAGGTATTATGGGGCGCCTGCACTCATCTCATGGTGTAAAGAATTATGGGGCGCCTGCACTCTCTAATGATGTAAGGTATTATGGGGCGCCTGCACTCTCTAATGGTGCAAGGTATTATCGGAAACCTGCACTTTCTAATGGTGTAAAGAATTATCTGGCACCTGCACTCATCTAATGGTGTAAAGTATTATTGGGCACCTGCACTCATCTAATGGTGTAAATAATTATTGGGCACCTGCACTCATCTAATGGTGTAAATAATTATTGGGCACCTGCACTCATCTAATGGTGTAAAGAATTATTGGACACCTGCACTCATCTATTGGTGTAAAGTATTATTGGGCACCTGCACTCATCTAATGGTGTAAAGTATTATTGGGCTTCTGCACTCATCTAATGGTGTAAGGTTTTATTGGACACCTGCACTCATCTAATGGTGTAAAGAATTATTGGACACCTGCACTCATCTATTGGTGTAAAGTATTATTGGGCTTCTGCACTCATCTAATGGTGTAAGGTATTATCGGGCACCTGCACTCTTCTAATGGTGTAAAGAATTATTGGACACCTGCACTCATCTATTGGTGTAAAGTATTATTGGACACCTGCACTCATC